CTTGGCACCAGAGTATTGCCACACTGAATGCTGTGGCCGCATCAACAACTACCCTTTTCAGTTCCAGTGCCCCCCTAATCCCCCTTTCTTTCTCGCACCACTCACCAAACTCTAAATAATCTACTTTTGCTTGTTGACTTCGATCAATCTCCCATGTCCAAACCCCTACCGCCCCTTCCCAAACTTACTGTCTTCCTATAGCCTTCTCTTCCATTGCATGTTTCAAAGCCTGCCTTCCTATCAATCAGCACCACTGCATTTCTTTTTACGTCCCAGTGTCCCTATCCGCCTTCTCTTCCCAGCTCACTACCTATGCATGCATTATCGTCCACAATATAGTCCAAATGGGATTCATTGATGAATGTCCAAATGGGAAAAGCACAAACGCGTGTCGGCTAATTGACGATGGCAACCGTCCCTTACAACCACAATGCAAACATGTACCCTCGCCAATTCTTCCTGAGATTGAACCAATAGCACCAGGGTGGTTCGGTCAGCATTTTGCACGTTTCTGTTTCGTGAAGTTGTCTAGTTACATTGAATACTTCGTAATTAACTTCAAGAGAAGCGATAATCTGTTTTGTCAAGTGTCTGTTATTCTTTTCATATTTTCTAGATAACTGTTTCCAAAATTAGGATAGGTATTCTTCTCTTCCGCTTGTGTAGTGGATTCTTGGAACTCTTTCATGAATGTCCCGATGGGCAGAACACAAACACGTGTTGAGTAATCGATGATGACAACCATCCCTTACAGCGTGATACAAACATGTACCGCTAAACGTAGGCTACAAAGTTTGCCTGGACAGGCATGCACAACATGCCATCCAGGCCAGAAATGCACTGCAGCGCCAGACCCAAACTATATTAGGAAACAGGGGCATGGGAAGATACGGTTGGATTTTGAGTCTTCAGGCCAAGAGCAGATCTGTCCAGACGTTTTTTCTCTAAAATGTGTGCCCCCATTTCCCAATGTGGGTGGGGTCTGGCACATTACTGGCCCGGATGGCCCATTGTGCGTGCCTAACTGGGATATCTTGTAGCCGACATTGCACAGTGTACATTACTTGCTCAGTGCACATTTGCATCATGGTTGTTTGGAATGGTTATCATCATCAATTACTCGACACGCGTTTGTGTTCTGCCCATTTGGACATTCACAACGGAGTCCCAAGCTCCCACATGTTCCCTCGTCGGCGGCTTGAAAACGGATGTAGCTGCCACGGGGTTCCCCTTAGTACCATAATGATAAGAAAAAGGCCTGAAAGGCCATCCTGGCCAGATTCAACAGGTAATTGAATTGGTTGGGCTTAAAAGAATTAGCTTTAAACCACTAGTACCTCCGCCAGTGTTGGGAAAATAGGGAAAACTGGGTGTTTTCCCCAGTTCACAGTAGCTGATGCAGATCCCAGGGCTCGATCCCTAGTCCCCACCTTACCTGTGTACAGTACCTGTGTCAACCCATAGAGTCGAACCGGCGACCTGTAGGACTGCCAGTGGTAGGTAGGTCATCATAGGTTACAGGGTATAGGGGATTCAAACTGTAGACCTGTCGGGCAAGAGTCTAGAGAGTCTAGAGGTCTTAGCTGTAGACTTTCCGAAGGGTCAAAGTCGTAGATGCTACTTACCTGAAAGGGCCAAAGTCGTAGCTGCTACAGGACCGAAAGGCCAAGTAGATGCTTCTAGAAGTGGCCTTTCGGAGTCATCCCACTGTAGGTCAAGGCAAGTGGGCAAGTGGTGGAAGTCCACAGTGCCGAGTCAGCAGTCCCAGTCCAGTCAGTCCGGTCCAGTCAAGCAAGTACCACCTGGGACTGTGCGCACCGTGGGCCAGGGAAACAGGGCAGGCCGACGAGCCACAGAAGTATAAATCAAGAGGCCGCGCGCAGCCATTCATTCATTCCTGCGGAAGCCATGCGGAAGCGCTGTCTCAGCGGCTTGTGTGAGGAGGTCTGCAGCATCCCGAAGTCGAAGTGGGCGAGGGTGACGAAGTGCAGCCATAGCGATAGGGTAGAGGCAGCCATCGCTGCCATAGCTGTAGTGTAGAGTGAGGTGTGTGTGTGGTGTGAGTGTTCAGCGTGTCGCATGTGGGATATCCAGGGTGATCCTGTGTGTGAACAGTGAGTTGTTGGGCGCTGAGCCGCCATAGCCAGTGGAAGTGAACTCTTATCTGGATACCATATCTCTGAGTTCTGTGGGGGCGCATGTCGCCAGTTTGCTGCGATGCTGTTTACATGCATGAGAAGTGTGAATGAGACGAGTCTGATTGCACGACGACGGCTGCCATTGATAAATCTGATCAGCGGCCGTCGTTTCGGCCTCCTAAAAGGTCGGAGGCCCACCCGAGGCCCGCTATTTTCCCACTTGGCAACGGTACTAGAGGCTTAACAAAAAACAAAAAACAAAACTTATCCCAAATGATATGATTTATCTAGAGGGGTTCAAGGGTGTAAAGTTAGGGAGCTGAGATGTAGCATCCAAAAAGCACTCACCTTGATTGTCTTTGCTTCTGCAACAGTTGTGTTGTGGTCAAGCAAACTCCCAAGCAGTTTAAACACCCTGTTATCTTTAATTTGATGCAACTTTTGCAAGTGTTCCATCCCCTTCGAAGGATCCACAGAAAGACCAAGTATCCTCTGCAACGATGTGTTGACTTTATTCCGCATATCTGTTGATTGATCATCCTGAACAATGACGCAACCAGCCAAAGACGGCTCAGTAATTCAAACAAACGAGGCAAAAAGCACAAACAAGGCTGGCATACCCATGAAAAGCTCATCTATTTTATATGGCCTTCTAAGTTCTATGCTTCAACGAGTCATTGGACGGTGAACGAGGCTTTCAAACTCCGAAAAACAGCAGCATTTTGTATCCCTGGTATAAGAGCGTGTTACAAAAAACAGCATGGTTTGAATCCCCCAACTTGGAGATAGCCCTAACACAGCCTGGAAGGTATACAAAAACAAGAGCATATTACAAAAACAGAATGGTCTGCAATGCCCTACTTGGGGATAGCCCTAAGGCAGGTAAGCAATACCCAATCGGGTCTCCATCAGGGACAACATGGGGTGCAAAGCATTCCATGCCTGGCCGCTTGTGACTTACAGCCTTGAGCTTTCAGGTGAATGTTCTGTCCTAAGGCAAAGATTCAACAGCTTCTTCAGTGCCAAAGGCGAAAGGATAACAGACCTGACTCCCACTACATGTTAGGGGCTAGCTGCGTGTGAGATTACTTGCTAGTGTAGCATGCTCATGTTCTATGATTCATCCCAAGTTCGTTCTTTAACCTGAAAGCCAGCCCAATCAGGCATTCTGTCCTAAGGCGTTCTTTAACCTGAAAGCCAGCCCAATCAGGCATTCTGTCCTAAGGCAAAGGTAGAACAGCTTCTTCAGTGCCAAAGGAAACAGGACGACAGAACTGACTCTCATTACAAGTTAGGGGCTAGCTGTGTCCTTGATTCAAGTTGATAGAGTGTGCAACGGACTTAAGTTAGTCCATCGATCAGGCTCCTTCCCATCTGTGCACTTACCTGCTAGCGTAGCACGATCATGTTCTGTGGTTCATCTCAACCTCATTCTGTTAACCTCAAAGCCAGCCCAAATAGGGGTTTAGCAGTTGATATAGCAATAATGTTTCTGAGGTGCACGGTTTCACACTTCGAGCGCTAGCAAACAGCAAGGAACACACACGAGGAGAAAACAAGTGGCTAAAGTGGTCCTGCCCACAAATTCATCCGACAACCAGCTGCTCTCTGCTCACCTTCTGTTGTTGTCTCAGATCAAGATAGGCCTGAAGCTCTTGCTGCAGCCTGCAATCAGACCCACAGAACCGCTTGTGAGCTAAGCAAAGTGCAAACCAGAGATTATTTGTTTCTATTAAACTCAGTTATAACGACTATCTGGCCCTGATGGATTAGCATTTGCTTTGCTGCTGAGATCACATGGTATAAGCATCATCTCATGTACTATCCACTGGCTCGGCAAATATTTAGTTCGGTGACTTCAGTTCCATCCAGTCCTACATTTCCCATCTTGCTCTCTAGGAATGCCCATTCCTTACTAACCCAATTCAACCAACCAGCCTTGCCAGCCGACAACATGGCATATCCTTGATCGAAGGGCAGCGATCTCACTGCGGCGGAGCATGAGGAGCTCGTGCACATGCTGGCCAGCCAATACCTCCCCATTGAGGAACAGGAGTGCGCAAAAGAGTTTGCACAAACTCATTGCTGCCTTGAGCCAACAGCCGAATGTGTCACAGAAGTACATGAGCTGTATCTGTCACAAATGCTGTGCAAAGGGGGAGAGGGTTGATTCATAGGATTAGATACGAGATGCACAAAGAGTGACTACACAAGAGAGTGACAGAACAAAACAAAACCAAACAAACAAAACTAGCAAAAATCAAACTGAGAACATGCACCCAGAGCAGAGAACGAAACAATGAAGTAAAACTAAACAACCAACGAGCGCAGGCAACAAGAGCCACACTTCGCAGCATGCCCCAGGACTTGAACCCATGTTCTGCAAAGAGGGAGGACTCCAGGGCAAAAGAGTTACGCATATCATGAACTCCTGGTTCAAACTGATAGACCCAACCAAGCAGATACAGAACTCTAACCTTTCCTTCAGATCAGACAAATTCGACCGAATTCAACTAAGCACTCATCGACACAGAAGTGGCCCCCTACGACAGCACAGGAAACAAAGTGCCTCAGTGAACAGAAAACAATCGAGTGTGTCATGCTGCATGACTCAAGAGTAACACCACTGACCTCTGCTTCATTACAAGGAGTACATCAAATGCTTTCCGACTCATTTCATCAAATGCTGCAAACATTGATACCCAATGCTTTGCTCTTTCTTCTACAGGAAGTTGTGGTGGAAACAGCTGCTCATCAAGCAGTACTTGCGTAGTCTCCAACCTGGTCACATCATTCAGGACAAGGACAGTGGAAAGCATATCAGTCATCATCATCAGAAGAGCACTCTATGATCAATAAGCCTCCAGCTATACCAAGAAAAGAAAGAAAAGAGCACTCAACAATCACATATCAGGATGAGAATAGCCCACAGCCCAAGAACAATACTGAGAAGGCTCTAGCAAACTGTACTTTGGCACAATCCATAGCATGGCCCGTGGATTGACACCCATTCTGTCAGATACATTATACATGCTTCACCCATTTGTGCCTGTTTCATGTCAAATACATTCGATGTATTCCAAATATAATTCATATATTTCTGCCTGTCTCATGTTAATAACAAAGCAGTCTTCCCTCTCGCTTGTTATTTTCCTCTCATGGTAGAATTCTCCTTTCACAGTTTTCAGGCAACTTGGTATCCTCATTAGAGCATGTGATTACACTTTCTCACTACCCTCGCCAACCACGGTACAATTGAAGGAATGGTAGACCATTCATCCAATGGCTCCAATGAGTCCAATCATGTTCGAATGACATGACGGTAGATCATGAATTCAGGCCAAGCTGGCAGCCTACTACCGTCTTCACCCGAATAGAACGCCCAATCATTATAGCTGCATTTGGCCCAACTTCAATCCAGATGCAGCGATAATGACCGGGTAGATTGCCCTGTCGCACCAGGAAAATCTATGACAGGTCAGCACAAACAGGTGCAACCGGTACTGGACAAACTGTACGACCACAGATGCAAAAAAGGCCACATAAACGCAGAGCCACTTTCTCAGCCAGAGCCAGCACAGCCAGCACTGAACTACTGGGAGAGTTCGGCAAGAAAAAGAGGCCACACTAGCACACGGGCACAATTCCAAGCCAAAAGCCAGCGCCGGACTACCACTGTAATTCTTCGACCACAACACTCTTTGAAAAGCACAAGAGCCGCACAGCCAGTTTTTTGCCACAACCACATGGCCGGTGCCAGACTGCTCGAGTGCTTCAAACAGGAACACAAAAAAGAAGAGGCCATAGAGCTTGTGCAGCCATTTTTTCATACCGACGAAGTTAGAACCTCAGACTTGGCAAGATGGGCAGTGAGCTGCAAGATGTAAGGGACACCAGGCCCGGCTTGCTGGCACCTGCCACTCTTTGCTTTCGACCTATTATCACAATGGCAATAACCGCATGACCCTAGGTTGGGGTTGCAAAGGTCATGCCTCAAGAAAGGATGGCGATGGCCAGTTGATCCTTCCAATGCTTTGGTGCCAGGAACCTCAACCATATTGGAGAGCAGCATCAGGCATTTGCTGATGTATATTCTTGACCTACCACTCGAAGAGGAACCCAGCTGCTTCTTCCCAGGATGGATAGGAGCCTTGTTGGCTACAAAAACTGAGATGGAGGGAAAAAAAACAAGATTTGAAGGTTCCGAAGAATCCGAACGCTCAACTCTCTTTTTTCTTTTTATAATACATCCCTTCCCTCGCCCCTTTGTTTCAAAAAGGACAACGGCCTTGAGATAGCATCATTGAACTGACCGCCCCAGGTATTTCAGAATCATTTCATTGCATTCATCTAGGTCCATCAGGATTCGAACTCAGGTCTGTATTTCAACAGTTCATGGGTGTACGAACTGAGCCAGGCCCATCGGTATATGATATGCCACCTCTCTCTTTCTCTCTCTCTCTCTCTCTCTCTCTCTCTCACACACACACACACACACACACACACACACACACACACACACACACTCTGTCACACCATTTTAGAAGTGAGTGCTGACATCATCACCAGAACCATCAAGATCATATAAACTAAAAGTGGCATGTAAACATTTGGCAAAGTTCTCTAAGAATAAGTCAAGCAAAAATCAAGCACCAATGGATAGTGTGGATGGGCCTAAAAAATCAGGGCAAGTCGATGGACAGACAACAACGCAAGAATTGTCATGAGCCAAAGCAGAGCGATCGATACCAAAAAAAAAAAGTGCACAATACCAGACACACACCTGCTTGGAGTCTGTAACAAGCCCAGTTCCCAGAATGCCAACAATCAGTCACCTTCTTTGGTCTCAATGTGTGTGGTGTCTGTGTCATCACAAAGTTGGGATAATATTTTCTTCAAATAAATTGGCCAAGACGACCTGCTGCAGCTTCCCTTGTGCTGACAAGAAGGATTGGTGCAAAAGCCCACTTTGCATGGGATACATTATTGGCCTGACTAAGGAGGGGAGGCAGCACTGCCAAGGGCGTAGCATTGGAGACTTCCAGAGGAACGAAAACAATTCCATGTAATGTTAGATCATTTAAATGCATCTTCAGAAGGGACTGCAATGGTAGAATTATCCTACCTCAGGTCCCTGTCATAGTAACACTTGATTATTCTCCCAGGTATCCACTCAAACTGCTCATCAGGTAGGCCTTTACCCTCGAAGCTTCTCAAGCAGTGGCTGGCATACAACTCAGTAAAGCTCTTCAGGGCTTCCTTTCTGACAGACACCTGCCAAGGACAGGTCTTATCGTATTAGTTCCCAAACTTACCCCCTGCCAAAAAACAGTGCCGTTCCCAAATCACCAAGACATATCTATTGTTCGGTGGTCTTCGTATTTCACACCGCTTTCCAATCTGCTTCTTCTTGCTTTTTCCTCGCAGAGGCTTGTGATTTGAACTATTATACGCACCCCAACTGCAATCTCTCTCTCTCTCTCTCTCTCTCTCTCTCTCTCTCTCTCTCTCTCTCTCTCTCTCT